ACACACACACACACACACACACACACATACGTATGTATATATATATATATATATAAGTTGGAAAAATAAGTTGGAAAAATAGAAATGAAGGTCAATTAAATTATAAAACGTGAAGTAAAGCTCTCCTTTTTATTTAATTGGCACATTTTTAATTGTATTTATTTATTTATTGGTCCATTTATATATTTCTGATTTTATTTCTAATTATGTCCGTTTCGGTCCTCCATACTGCAGAAGAGGTTATTAAATGTCTGAATCAGGTGTGTTGGAGCCAGGAAAAACATAAAACATGTAGGGCTGCGGCCCTCGAGGACCAGGATTGCCCACCCCTGGTTTAGACAGTATTGTGGTATACCTCGGTTTTTAAAATACATCGAYAGTACGGAAAAATGAGGACGATATTTTAACCCTCTGGAACGRTTACATGACCGATACGTCTTCTCTGAGAATCTGTTTCAATTTGTGTCAAAAGTAGAGACTTCAAACTATAGTTTTAAAATTGTTTATAGGTATAAATGTAAATAGTACACGCCACTTTTTTTCCCTGAACATGATCGTGCCATTTGATGCTCACTGCAGCAGCAGGCAGATTGAAACATGGTAATCTCGTGGAAAAAAACATCTTGATCCATCGTCGGTCTCATCTTTCTCTCAAGCCGAAAAAACATTGTTGCGAAAGACTTTTGCACAACATTATTTCAAGGTCTGACCAAAACACCTACTACTCCCTTTCTCAACATTAGGATAAACTTAGTCTAAAACTTTGTTTACTTTATTTACTTGCTGTCAGTTATCATAAACCTTGTTATTCCAGTTTTCCAAACAGGCAAACACTCCAGGCTCTTGGAAAAATAACTAACCAATAAAGCTATACAACGGGAAATAAATATGTATCTCAAGTCTATTCTTCGGACAACAAGTTACAAATTGTTCTATCTCCTCTGCATGTGTAAAACTAACAGCAGGGCTTCCTGTCTTGGCACACTCAGAGTCCATTCCACGACCCTTATCTATTCAGCAYTCGTCATCCTGTCTTCAAAATAACTCCAAATCCTCCCCGGGGCCGASTGTCTGAAGGCAGCGCAGCAGCTCGGTTAGACAAACCAACAAGAGGACAGACATAACATACACACTGTAGACTTTCACTGTGTCCTAAATTCTGTGCAACTCGTGAACTGCTGTGTGAACGTGACATTTCTGGGCTTWTATCAAAATACAGGACATGTGAGAAAATGTGACTTCTTATCAAAGCTACGTTAGGATGAGTTAAGAGGCTGTTCAATGCCRATAAAGTGGTTTTCCTGACTAAAACTCACACTTATCCTGCTGACACTGATTAAATACATCTAAAAATGTGTATCTTTGATTACGTAGTGCACCGGTAAATCTGCACCAAGTTCACTAACTTTGGGAGATGAYGATAAACAAGTTGGGCTTCTCACCTACGTCCACAACGGTCTGAAAATCAGCCACTGTCCCCGTTTACACTGCTGTCAGAGTAATGTCCAGTTTGAAACAAGTTTGTATTGTTTCAAGTGTATCGCCCAAAACCGGAGTCAGCACGTCAGACTTTTTAAAGATTGATCTGGCAGAAAACTACCATCAGTGCAGCAAATTAAATGAAGGTGTGTAATTATATTTAACATGGAGCACACACATTGTTATTGCCCACCACCTAGGGTTGGGCATAATCGTATCGTGTGCAATTAATCATCAGAAAAACATTAATCGATTACGTTTTGGCACTTGACGATTAATGCCACCAG